TGAGGAACCGCACCCCCAGCCCCTGCTAGCCGCCTCCTGCCACCTCCTCACCTTCAGCACCGATGGACACCAGCTTCACCCCCTTGCTGGCAATGAAATCCAGGGCCTTGTTGACATTGGCGATCTTGTGGAAGCGCATCTTGCCTTTGTCTGGCCTGGGCAGCCTTTCTCCTGGGTGTGAGAGGAGAGATCAAGGGTCAAAGGACATGAGAGGAAGCTGAAGACACGGTCCTCAAACTTCCCCCTCCCTCGGCACGTCCCCTCCAGCAGTCGGCTGGCACTCTGGGTTCCCCTGGGTCCTGGGGTCCCTGTGCACTGATTTGCACCCCTCACCTGAAATGACCTCCAGGAGCAACATGAGTTTGAGGCCATTGCGGAAATCCTCCTCGATGTTCTCGATCTGGGTGCCAGCCTTGCGCAGGTGCGAGTTGCACCAGGCAGTGAAGGTCTGGGGGCAGAGGACAGCGCTCAGACCCTAGTGCTGAGGACAGGGCACTGGCTCCTTGGTCAGGGTAGATCTCAGAGCCCGAGGCCTTGGATGCAAGTTCTGGCTCAGCCACTCACTTGCTGTGCATCTGGGGCCAGCCCCTGTCCCTCTCTGAGCTTTAATTCTCTTGGAAATGGGGAGAAATGGGGTCTGGGGCCCCTTCAGATCCCAGTGTGGATGCTGCCAGCACAACAAGAGCTTTGGCCAGTCTCCAGCCAGTGTGGGGCCCCCTGAGACACCAGGGACACTGCCTTACTAAAATCTGAAATGTTTCAGGTCGCAGCACAGATGGCTTGGAAGGTTTGGTCCGAGGGACTGTGCATCTGTGTTATTATCGTCTCAGCCCCACTGACCTCCTAAGGCTATTGTGAATTGGCCCCCAAGCGGCCCACGAGGCTGCTCGAGCTTTGCAGGCCCTCGAGGAACAGCGGGACACTGAGGCACAGCCTGACCTAGTTTCTGGAGGAGACTGCCCGCCCTCTCCGGCCAGGGCGTGCTTCAGCCTCAGCCTCTGTCTGAGATGGGAGGGGTGATATATGCTGCGTGCCTTTGGGGGATGGCAGTGACCTAGAGCCTGGTGTACAAGTTTCTACAGCCTCCCAAGGCCTCAGGCCCCGGATTCTGCCCTCAGCTGGCAGTCCTTGGTAGAATCCATACTCAGACTCCCACCCCAGCTGAGCTACTGTGACCTGGGATGTGCCCCTCGCCCTCTCCTCGGCTCCATCTCTGTACAATTCGAGTTCAGAGTCAATGATGTCTCAGGTTCTTCCTCCCCTGATCTTGCAGGATCCTGGGATTCAAAGCATTTCCCCCTCCCATCCCCCCCCCCAGAGCAGACACCCCAAGGAAGGAAGTTGGAATTCTTTCCCTCAAGTGTATAAGTGGGTGCTGAGCACTGCTCGATGCCGCCCCGAGCACAGGAGAGCGCTGGTGGATTCTCTGTAGTTCCTTCCTGCCCTGGAGTCTCAGATGCTCTGGGCACAGACAGGGCAGTGGGAAAGGCAGGTCTGGGGAGGCCTCCATAGTGGAGGAAGCAGATTCCCTCATAGGACAAACATGACTTTTAATGAGATTTGGTTCCTGCCCTAAAGGAACTCAGTCAATCAAAGAGTCCTGTGGGCCTGTGAAGTGCTGGGAGAGACTAGCATTGAGGAGCTTAGGGGATGTATTCTTTAAATCAGGTGTTCTTCAAACCTCTTGGGGAAAGTGAGTAACTGATCAGAACTGTGATGGAAGAGCAAGAGTTACTCAGGCAGGGAAGGACGGGCAAGGGCATTCTAGGCAGGGGTGGCCGCAGGGCTTGGTGATGAGAAACAGTTGCTAGGATTGTGGGGCTACAGCCATCTGGGCACCGCTCTGGGATGTTGGGGTATAAGAGGTGAGAGGCGGGCCGGAGGGGTGGCAGAGGCCAGGTCATGCAGGATCTTGAGTGCTAAGCCAGGGAGTGTGAACTTGATCCTCAAGGCAACGGGGAGGGAGAGGGGCAGAACTGGGTTTTAGAAAGTTCATTCTGGTTGCAGAGAATGGCTTGGCAGAGTAGAAGGAAAAAGTGAGGAGGTGGCGACTGAGACCAGGGTGAGGGAGGGTGTCAGTGAGTGGGACGGGTAGGAGCGAGGGGGTGAAATGGAAACATTTGTCCTTGCTAGATTCTAAGCTCTCTGAAGCAGGGGCTTTATTTCATCCCCTGCTGAATTTCTGACACCTGACACAGTGCCTGGCACATACCAGGACCTCCCTAAGAAATATTAAACAACTGTTTTCAAATGAGGTTGAATAAAGAGGACTCTGGTGTCAGATGGGAGGAGGCAGGAGTGCTCTAAGATATGGAGGAGAAGCAGGGATGGGGTGGGGCTAAAGTTGAGCACAGAGATGTTCATTACATTGTAATAAACACTGCTGGTTGAGAAACAACTGGATTATCCAACTTCAGGGAACACTAATGAATTTACAAAGCATCTACATGGGTGCAATCACTGAGTAAGTGGATGAAGTGGGTGGCTGTATATTGGTTTGGAAGGATGTTCCTGATACTTTGAAGAAAGCGAGGTACAGACTAGCCTGTGTCTTATGAGGGGCCTGTGAACCTGATCTGGGAGAGGCCTGGGTGGGCGGGGGTGGGGTGGGGAGCGGAGTTGCAGAGCAGGTGGCAGCGGGAGCCAGGGCAGGGATGACATCACTGGGAGACTGCTGGACCCGAGGACCACAGCCCTGCTTGGAGACAGGTGCAGAAGGAGCCTGGGGGGAGGCAGATCACCCGGCGCACCCTAGCCGTGTCAGCTGAGCCTCCCAGCCCCTGGGGTCACCTCCTGTCATCTAACTCAGCGGAAGTGCTCTGATTCTAAATCCGGGATTCTCTAAATCCTGCAAATTCCACTGAGCACCCCTGTTCCCCACCCTTTCCTGGGGTCACACGCTGTTGGCAAGTGATGAGTCTAATGACCTCACAGTGCCCCCCTACCCCCAGCCTGCCACTCCCCAGCATTTCCTCACTCCAGGCCCAGATCACTTTCTCTTCTGGGTCCCCAGGTGTCCTGCCCCCTCCATCTGGGAAAGTCTAGGAGTGAAAATAGATCGGGGAGGGGAGGCCTGAGTGCCCTACAAGGCTGGACCTGGGCAGCAGCTGCCCTCTCAGCTCCTCCAAGGCGCTGCCTCAGCACAAAGTGTCCATCTGGCCCAAGAGTCAGGTTACCTACCGCGAAAAGGAACCCAGGGCTCCCCTCCTCCCCGACCTTGTGGCCTTTTCAGCAGATTCAGGGCCCTTGGGGTGGGGAGGGGTGTCTTGGGAAAGAATGGGGGAGGGACAAACAATGGGCAAAGACCCTCAGGTTGCCTGGGGGGGGGACTGTTTTCTGACAGTATATGATGTGGGTCCTACCTTAGCCTCAGTTTCCTCACTTGACAATTGAGATAGAGTGACCGTGGACATCATGCTGGACAGAATATAGCAAGGGTGGGTAGGAAATCTGGAAGTCTACCACTTCCCCCATACTCTTAAGTTCACTAGTTGCCTAGCTGCAAGTCCTCAGGTGGGGTCTGGGAATATTTCAGAAAAGGCGGGGGGTGGGTGTGGAGAAAGATTGATTTTTCCTAACCCCACCCCACCCAAACTTGGATCTCCAGGGCTTTGCCCAAACCATATTCTTTAGAAAAGTGGGCCCAGGTGAATGAACCCTTGGGAGGTGGAGATCGAGATCCCAGAAATCCTTCTTGTCATCCTAAACCCCTTAAGAGGGTCCCCAGCCCTCTCCTTGGGCTCTGGTGGACAGCACAGGATTGATGGCCAGAGCCCAGGCTAGGAAGTGGCACTGAGGGTTAAGACAGGCTCTTGCCCCTGACCTACTGAGATGCCAAGAACAAACCGCCTTGTTTCTCAGGCCTCAGTTTTGCCATCAGGAAATGGGCTAGCACTCACTTTCCGCTGCTGCTTCTCCCAGGCCGGGTCCAACAGTAGGTCGCGGTCCCAGTCCTCCTCCTGTTCCATGTACTCGCCGCCCCCGCGGCCGCCGCCCGCGAAGGGCCCCTCCCCGGTCCCCAGACCCTCGGGCTGCAGAACCATCATCATCTTGTTCGGGCTTCTGGCTCCGCTCTGCTCGGCGCGCTCCAGAACACGGGGGCCGCGTTAAGTAGCGCCCGGCCCAGCCCCGGATCGGATTCGCGCTAAATATGGGGGAGGAGGGTGGGGCCGGATGGGGGCGAGGGCGCTCGGGTCGGGACCAGGCAGGAGATTGTCCTGGGGCTAAGAGACTGCCGAATTTTGAGGCTCTGGGATAGATCCCGTGGCGGAGATCCAGGGTTCGCATTCTGGCTCCGCCGCTTGGGCGCTGTGTGACTTTGAGAAAGCCACGGGCCCTCTCTGAGTCTTTCCCCATATGTACAACGAAGATGACGAGGATAATCGTGGCGGCAGACCACTCTGGAAGCTGTCTTTTGGATCTCCTCCTGACCCTTTTCCTGAGCCGCGGTGGTGGGAAACAGGGACCACTATTCCCATTTCACAGTCAGAAACACCGAGGCGCCGAGCTGTTTGAATGTTTTCTGGGGTGATGAAGGGAGACACTCGAGCATGAAGAGGGATTCCAAGCCAGCTGGATGGGCCGAGGCAGGGCTATTAATATCAGGGCTACTGGGGGAAGAGGGGGAATGTGCTGAGCCGGGAATCCCCGACGCCACCAAGGCTGCAACTCAATCCTGGCTTGCTGGCCACCTCGGCCAGCTTGCCCGGTGGCCGCGGGAGGGGCGGGGCGTCCGCGGGAGGGGCGGGGCGTCTCCGGAGGGGCGGAGATATAACCGCGCTGCCCTACCCGGTTCCAGCGCCAACGAGATTCCAAGCATCTCTTTGGCTTGTTCGGCCGTCCAATTACATCTCCGTACCTGTGGGCCCGCCCAGTGAACCGGAGCGCTCACGCGCCTCTTCCGAGCTTCTATTGGTTGTAGCAGACGTCTGTTTGCCACTATCCCTGCCTCAATACGGAAGCGGCGGGGTACTAGCGGGGGGCCCTACCGCTAGTGGGCCATGGGGCAGCCCTGGGCGGTAGGGACCGCGGAGGCCGCTCCCGCGCGGCTGCCCCTCGTGCTCACCGCGCTTTGGGCTGCGGCGGTGGGCCTGGAGCTAGCTTACGTGTTAGTGCTGGGCCCCGGGCCACCTCCGTTGGGACCCTTGGCCCGGACCCTGCAGGTTGCGCTGGCAGCCTTCCAGCTGCTCAACCTACTGGGCAACGTGGGGCTCTTCCTGCGCTCGGACCCCAGCATCCGGGGTGTGATGCTGGCCGGCCGTGGTCTGGGCCAGGGCTGGGCGTGAGTGGGGCTCGGGATCTGGCGCGGGGGAGAAGCGGGAGCTTGGCGCAGGGGGAGGGCCCTAGGACCTTGAAGATGTTTGAGCCGCTTGTTAGAGCCAGAGAATTCTTTTACAGCCAGAAGGCAGAACAAGTTTCATTCATTCACTTACGAATATTATTGAGCACATTATTATGTGCAGGGTACTATTCCAGGCACTGGAGGTACAATAAAACGTATTCCTGATTTTAGTGGGGGAGGGCAGATGATAAACTTCAGGGTCGTAAATAAATAACGTAGAATGTTAGAAGGTGTTGGTGGTCAGGAAACAGAAAGAGTGCAGTCTCAAATAGGGTGGTCAAGGTAGGCTTCATAGAGAAGGTGGCGTTTGAGGAAAGACTTAAAGGCGAAGGGAGAGTTAGCCATATTCATCTGGGGGAAGAATGTGCCAGGCAGAAGGGACAGGCGATGCAAAGGCTCTGAGGCGGTTGTGTGCCCAGCATGTTTTGGGAACAGCAAGACAGCCAGTGTGGCTGAGGTGGTGTGCGGGGGGAGAAGAAAGTGTGGAGATATAAAGACTTTGTAAACAGACTTTGAAGACTTTGCTTTTTACCAGAAGTGAAATGGAGAGCCATCTCAAGGTTTTGAGCAGAGGAGGCATATGATTTAGATTTTATTTTATTATTTCTTTTCCTTGGTCTCGCTGTCAGGCTTGTGGGATTTTACTTCCTGGACCAGGGATCAAACACAGACCCTCAGCAATGCAAGTGAGGAGTCCTAGCCGCCGGATTGCCAGGGAATTCCCCTTAGCTTTTTAAAGGATCAGTCTGGCTGCTGGGGCGAGACTACAGTAGAGGGGATAAAGGTGGAATCAGGGAGACCAGTTAAGAGGCTGTTGCAATAATTCAGGGCAGAGTTCATGGTGACTTGGACCAAGCTGGTAACAGTGGAGGACAAAAGTTTGCTCCTGGATGTTAGAAACCAGCCAAAGACCTCAGGACTGGCGTTGTCAGACCTGCTGTGCGAGAAGTGGAAAGGCTTGGGAAGTGGTGTTCAGCCTGCATTTACTCCCCCGTGAAGAACCTGAGGCTTAGCAAGGGCAGGGGCTGTGCCTGGTTCCCCAGGATGGGCTCAGGGGCTGATCCAGGCACCATGAGGGGCTCTCCGAGCTTCTGGAGGGATTGATCCTGTGGTTCCTTCCCTGCAGTTACTGCTACCAGTGCCAAAGCCAGGTGCCGCCGCGCAGCGGGCACTGTTCTGCCTGCCGCATCTGCATCCTCCGCCGGGACCACCACTGCCGCCTGCTGGGCCGCTGCGTGGGCTTCCGCAACTACCGGCCCTTCCTGTGTCTCCTGCTCCACGGCGCGGGTGTCCTGCTGCATGCCTCTGTGCTGCTGGGCCCGGCCCTGTCGGCCCTGCTGCGAGCCCACACACCCCTCCATACCGCCGCCCTGCTCCTGCTGCCCTGGCTCATGTTGCTCACAGGTGGGGAGCCCTGGATGTGGGGGAGTGTGTGTGTATGGGGGGGCGGGGGCGGGGGAACCTCCCCACAGAGGCCGAGGCCCATCCTGGTGGGCGAGGGGATTCCTGGCGGGTTCTCCAGGTAGTGCCCTAGGGACCCAGTCCCAAGGTCGGCTTCAGGAGGCAGGGGCAGCTGGGTATTCACGTGGGTGTGCAGTCTGGTAAATCACAGGGCCTGGACACAGGTACAGAGCTCTGGCTGAGAGAATCAGAGGAGGAAAGGCTGGTGGGATTTCACTGGGTGGGGCAGATGGGATGGTGAGGGAGTATTCTCAGTAGGGAGGTGGCATTCAGACCTAGAGAGGTAGTGTGAACACAGACTTGGAGGTTGAGAGCAGGGAAGACATTTGGAGGGAAACGTGAGGATTAAGGCTAGGATGTAGATGAGGACTGGGTGATGGAGGGCCTTGAATGTGACGTGAGGAGATGGTCCTCACTTGGCTGGGCAGTGGGGAGCCAGTGAAGGTTACAGGCAGGCGGAGGTCCAGTGTTTGGAAGTTGGGAGGGGACATCTTGGATCAGGAGGCTGCTTGAGAGGCTGTGTTCTGGATGAACACACTCTCCTCCGACACCACCGAAAACAGAAACCCCACTGGCTTTTCATACTTTGTCCTCTGCCCCCCGTGATGCTTTGGGATTCCTCTCCCCAACCCTGTAGTGTGAACACAGACTTGGAGGTTGAGAGCAGGGAAGACATTTGGAGGGAAACGTGAGGATTAAGGCTAGGATGTAGATGAGGACTGGGTGATGGAGGGCCTTGAATGTGACGTGAGGAGATGGTCCTCACTTGGCTGGGCAGTGGGGAGCCAGTGAAGGTTACAGGCAGGCGGAGGTCCAGTATTTGGAAGTTGGGAGGGGACATCTTGGATCAGGAGGCTGCTTGAGAGGCTGTGTTCTGGATGAACACACTCTCCTCCGACACCACCGAAAACAGAAACCCCACTGGCTTTTCATACTTTGTCCTCTGCCCCCCGTGATGCTTTGGGATTCCTCTCCCCAACCCTTTCCTCCTGAGCTGTCCACAGTCCTCTCTGTAACCTTGTCCTGCAGTTACTAAACTTCCGGACCACTCCGAACAGCGAGTGTGTCTCCTTATCCTGTCCAGACCCAGCTCTGTCCCCAGGACCCCCTCCTTGCGGCCCAGGGGAGACCTTGGGAGGAGGCCCAGTGGGTTGTCAGGGCCTTCCTCTGTTGACCCTGGCTTCCTGCACTGCTCTCCTCGGTGACCTCCCTGCCTCCATGGACACTCAAGCCCTCAGCTGCTCCTCTCTGAACGAATGACCCCCCTTGGTCATCCACGGTTTCCCACTTGCTCCCCACAGTCACTGAAGACAGTCCATCACCACATCCCTCTCAGCCCTGGGCCTTGTTGAGTGCATCGGCATCCAGAAGTCTGGGTGAATGGCCCTGATGGCCCAATTTCTTATCTTCTCCTCCCACATCCCACCCCAGTCCATCAGAATCCAAAATGTGTCACCTCCCAAATCACCCCATCAGCCACCCCTTCTCTGCTCCCACCTCCTCTCCTACCCAGCTCACTCTTTACTCTGTGACAGGAGCTCCTGGGCCTCACCTTTCTGTCCATCAGCACCTGCCACTTCACCACCCTCATTTCCACCAACCTCCTGCAGCCTCTCAGCTCCATCTTCCTTCCACTGTGCCTTCCTGGCTCCTCTGTGTCTGCCCTTGTGTCTCCTTAGAGCTGCCAGACATGCCTGGTCCTTCGTGACAGCTGATACTTGTCACATTCACGGCTGCTGACCTCAGCAGACCCTCAGTAGTTCCTGGTTGTCCTCCACTGCAGCTCAAACCTTCCCACTTTCCTGTCCTCCAAACCCCCATCTCTCTTAAAAACCCATCACAGAGAAAAGTAGTTCAGAATTTATCTCCCTACACACTCTACTGGGTCTCAGAACCACCTGAGTACCAACCACTCACAAATCTGCACATCCAAGCTGGGCTTCTCTCCTGAGCTTCCAGAACCATCCATTCACTTGTCTTGCAGACATCTCTCCATCCTGCCTCAGGACCTTCAAACAGAGTATTTTCTCCTCTCTTCACCTAGCAAATACCTCCTCAACTTTCAGTTGTTGTTCAGTCATTCAGTCGTGTCCCAGCTCTTTGCAACCCCATAGACTACAGTACACCAGACTTCCCTGTCCTTCACTATCTTCTGGAGTTTGCTCAAACTCAGGTCCATTAAGTCAATGATGCAATCCAACCATCTCATCCTTTGTTGTCCCCTTCTCCTACTGCCTTCAATCTTTCCCAGTATCAGGGTCTTTTCCAGTGAGTCACATCTTCCCATCAGGTGGCCAAACTATTGGAGCTTCAGCTTCAGCATCAGTCCTTTTAATGAATATTCAGAGTTGATTTCCTTTAGGATTGACTGGTTTGACAAAACGTGGTCCACTGCAGAAGGGAATGGTGAGCCGCTTCAGCATTCTTGCCTGAGAACCCCATGAATGGTATGAAAAGGCAAACTTCAGACACCACCTGAAATAGACAACTCTCTCAAAACAGATGAAGTTTATTTCCCTGAGCCTCTTAATAAGTTTGCATGTCATCTCCCCACCCCCACCATAGGCTCTTTTATATAAACTAATTTTTGCATTTTCATTCATTCATTCATTGTTTTTGGCTGCATTGGGTCTTCTTTGCCTCTGCAGGCTTTCTCTAGTTGTGGTGAGCAGGGACGACTCTTTAGTTGCAGTGCGGGCTTCTCACTGCAGTAGCTTCTCTTGTTTCAGAGCAAGGGCTCTAGAGTGTACAAACTTCAGTCGTTGCAGCGCCCGGGTTCTAGAACACAGGCTCAATAGTTGTGGCACACAGGCTGAGTTGCTCCTTGACATGCGGGATCTTCCCGGACCAGGAATCGAACCCTGCACTGGCAGGTGGATTCTTTACCACTGAGCCACCAGAGAAGCCCAGCTCTCTTTTTTTTTTTTTTTGAACTTTTTATTTTGTATTGAGGTATAGCCGATTACCAATGTTGTGATAATTTCAGGTGAAAAGTGAAGCCAGCTCTTTTTTTAATTCACATAGCATGAAACTTATAATTTTAACCATTTTCAAGTGCACAATTCAGTTGTCTCTAGTATACTCAGTGTAGTCCAGCCATCACCACTGTCTAGTTCCAGACCGTTTTCATTGCCCCCAAAAGAAAGCCTCTACCCCTTAAGCAGTCACTCCCCATCCCCCACTCTCCTCTCGAGTGCCCCCAGCCCCTGGCAACCACTGATCTTCTGTCTCCATGGATTTGCCTATTTGGGACATTTCATATAAATGGCACCATATAATACATGACCTTTTGTGTNTTCATTGCCCCCAAAAGAAAGCCTCTACCCCTTAAGCAGTCACTCCCCATCCCCCACCCTCGAGTGCCCCCAGCCCCTGGCAACCACTGATCTTCTGTCTCCATGGATTTGCCTATTTGGGACATTTCATATAAATGGCACCATATAATACATGACCTTTTGTGTCGGACTTCTCTTGCTTGGCAAAACATTTCACGGCATCTTGCAGTTCACTGGTTCAGCTGATACTTACTACCTGTTACAGATGAGGATGGTCCAGGATGCTTTTTCTGGCATCACACCCATCACAGCTGCCTGTCATTAAGTAACTGAGACATGATCTCTTGAATCTCTTGTGAGTTCCCTGAGACTGGAGATGCTAGCCTGGCATTCGTGGGGGGTGCTCACATGGGTGTGGTGCAGGAGTGAAGGTTGTGTCTAGGGCAGGGGGCTGTGTGTGCCCAGTTCACCAGTGTGTTCCCGTTAGCCAGCACAAGCTGGCCAGGGAGCAGTGACTGCAGGTTGCTGAGCAGAAGAATGCGCCCTGCTCCGTGGCGGAGGAGGGGACGGGAGGAGGGCAGGGGCCAGGCTCTGGGAGGCTGGGCCTGCTGCTGCTCCCTTACCCTCTGCTCTCCCCCTGCAGGCAGAGTGTCCTTGGCACAGTTCGCCCTGGCCTTCGTGACTGACACGTGCGTGGCGGGTGCGCTGCTGTGCGGGGCCGGGCTGCTCTTCCACGGGATGCTGCTGCTCAGGGGCCAGACCACGTGGGAGTGGGCTCGGGGCCAGCACGTGTACGACCTGGGCCCCTGCCACAACCTGCAGGCAGCTCTGGGGCCCCGCTGGGCCCTCGTCTGGCTCTGGCCCTTCCTGGCCTCCCCGTTGCCGGGGGACGGGATCACCTTCCAGACCGCAGCCGACGTGGGACTCATGGCTTCCTGACTCCAGGAAGCGCCTGAGCTTGTACAAGCCGCACACGGCGAGGAGAGGGGACTTGTAACTCATTTCAGGCCCACCCCCGCCCCCAGCCTCAGAGGGAGGCAGGCTGGTACTTGATGCCTGCTTTCAGCAACTCCCATCACCACCCTTGGGCTTGCCCATGCCCAGCTTGGACTCCTAGGGTCCAGGGCTTGGGCCCTGCGATTCAGCCTCTGTCAGTGGCCCCCGAGGACTGTGAAAGGTCTGGCAAGGGGCTGCTCGGCCTGCCTGGTCGCCCCATTGCCAGGTTAATAAAGTGCCCACTTGGTTCTGGAACTCCCTCCAGCTTTGTGGGTTTTTGGTCCTCCTCCGTGGCCCGGGCTGCTGTTTTTGTTTTCTTTGACTGTCAAGCCTGGGAACCACAAAATGCCTGAGGGTGTGAGGATCCAGAGCTCTGCCTCCTGTGGCCTTAGGGCAGGGGGGCTGGGGAGTCGGGGTACAGCAGGCTAAGACAGAATGTAGAGGTCCAGGGTATGAGAACCCACACTTCTTCCCCAGGTTGAGTGCTTTATAGTGAGGAGTTTGTCAGCAGCCACAACCTCACTGAACTTGTCTCCAGCTAATCCAGTACCCTGGGCAGCAATTATGCCAGTCAAGAACGTTAACGCTCTGAGAGGTGATGTAATAAGATTTCATGGGGTAGTAAATGGAGGAGTCCAGTTATGAACCCAGATCTTTGCACTCTGTACTTCACCCTTTTTTGCCTGACCAAAAAAAATCAAGGCAGAGAAATCGGGGTGGTGGGGGAGGGACGTTCAAGCATCGGTGCAGGATGGGGCCGAGATGGCTAAGCTCCTCCTCTCTGGCCTTTTCGGGAGCTCCTGGTTAAACACTTATTTAAATGTAGTGAGCAGACACTTCCCATTACATGTGGCAAGTTTAGCCATGTGAGTTTACTTGTTTCCTCTTAAAGTCTGAAATGATAGTAAAGAAATGAAAAATGATATAAATTTACAAAGAGAAAATAGGGAGACAGCAGTAGACCAAAGAACCTGACAGCATCTTGAGAGATGAAAAATGGATAGAGGCTCATTTACTCTCCTAGAGAACCAGACGCTGCAATTAAGTGTTCCCCGAAGGAGGGGCCAAGAGGCCACCAAACCCCCAACCCCTGACCCCAAGCCGTGCAGAGGCTCTGGAGTTCCACCAGCACCATGGAAGGCGAGGTTTGGGGCTGACAAGAGGGACTGATTTAAGGTCTCTGTGAGGAGCAGCTAGACTGTCCCTCCCCCCAGGACCCAGCTGACCCCTTGCAGCCAAGCAGCTACCCCACTGCGGTGGAGGTGTGGGCTTTTGTGTCTTGGGGGAACTGGGGAGGGTGGGGGTGAGGGGCTGGACCAAAAGTGGGGTTGAGTTAAAACCTACAAATGCTGCTGAGGCAGGGGGTAGCCCTCCAATGACATGGCAGGTTGCCTTCCAAGAACCCTCAGAGAAGCCCAAGGCTCTGCCCACGCCCGTGAAGGTTTGAGCTGCTAGGACTTTGCTTTTTTAAACAGCATGCACTATTACTACTTAACTGTATATTAGGAACTTGCTGTAGCTGTCTCTTTGTACGTAAGCTCTGGCAGACTTCCCGTTTCCTTCTCTGCTTTACCCCCATCCTCTAGAATCTTTTCTTGTTTTGTTTGGTTTTGAATTAAACAGTGAAGAGATGCAAGGAAATATTTAAAGAACACCCTCCCCACCCCCACTTCAGAAATGGATACCTAGACTTCCCTGGCAGTCCAGCGGTTAAGACTCCGCGCTTCCAGTGCACGTGGATACCCTTTCCTTTCTAGTCCCTGCTATACCTCTCCCTGGTAGAGGAAAGAAACACTGCTGTCTGAATCATTCCCTTGCTTGCTCTGTGATTTATTATAGATGTTTTGCATGTTTCTGACTTTTATATAAATGAAGCTACACCATGTTTATTTTACTGCAATTTGCTTTTTCTTTTAATACCATGTTTCTGAGATTTACCCAAATTAATATGTGTAGCTGTAAGGCATTCCTTTTGCTTGCTGTATAGTAATCCATCGAATATACAATTTATTTTTCTCTTTTGTCCCACTGATCATTTTATCTACCTGTGTGTGTTCCCCTAAGATCTATGCTTGGCTCTTGCTCTTCCATATCCATTTTAGAATCAGCTTGTTACGTTCTATCAATAAAACCCCCTTTGAAACTGTGATTGAACCCAACTGAATCTGTATTATCAGTTTGGGGAAAATCAACATCAACATGAGATTGAAGTTTCCAGTTGTGAACATGGTGTATCTCTTCATTATGTTTTCAATAAAGTTACTTTTTCTGATAAATTGGTTAAACTTAAGTACTTGATGTTGTGCTGCTGTTATTCATGGCTTATGAAAATAATTTTTTATGTCCAAGAAACCTAAAATTTATTAAGCTCTGGCAGACTTCCCGTTTCCTTCTCTGCTTTACCCCCATCCTCTAGAATCTTTTCTTGTTTTGTTTGGTTTTGAATTAAACAGTGAAGAGATGCAAGGAAATATTTAAAGAACACCCTCCCCACCCCCACTTCAGAAATGGATACCTAGACTTCCCTGGCAGTCCAGCGGTTAAGACTCCGCGCTTCCAGTGCACGTGGATACCCTTTCCTTTCTAGTCCCTGCTATACCTCTCCCTGGTAGAGGAAAGAAACACTGCTGTCTGAATCATTCCCTTGCTTGCTCTGTGATTTATTATAGATGTTTTGCATGTTTCTGACTTTTATATAAATGAAGCTACACCATGTTTATTTTACTGCAATTTGCTTTTTCTTTTAATACCATGTTTCTGAGATTTACCCAAATTAATATGTGTAGCTGTAAGGCATTCCTTTTGCTTGCTGTATAGTAATCCATCGAATATACAATTTATTTTTCTCTTTTGTCCCACTGATCATTTTATCTACCTGTGTGTGTTCCCCTAAGATCTATACTTGGCCCTTGCTCTTCCATATCCATTTTAGAATCAGCTTGTTACGTTCTATCAATAAAACCCCCTTTGAAACTGTGATTGAACCCAACTGAATCTGTATTATCAGTTTGGGGAAAATCAACATCAACATGAGATTGAAGTTTCCAGTCGTGAACATGGTGTATCTCTTCATTATGTTTTCAATAAAGTTACTTTTTCTGATAAATTGGTTAAACTTAAGTACTTGATGTTGTGCTGCTGTTATTCATGGCTTATGAAAATAATTTTTTATGTCCAAGAAACCTAAAATTTATGATTTACTTGAAAATTCTGAGTTTTCTGTATGTATTATCATCTCTATGATTAAAAAAAATCTTCCATTTTACTTTTTATATCTTTTATTTTTCTTGCCTCTCTGTATGGGTGGAAGAAAGTGTGGGCACCCTTGACTTGTTTCTGACATTATAGGGAATAATTTCAATATTTCACCATAAAATATATTTGCTGGTTTTTGTAAAAAAGAGAAAAAAAAAAGTCTTTTATTAGGCTGAGAAATTTCCCTTCTATTCCAAATATGCTGAGTTTTTAATCCTTTTACTTTCATTCTCTGCCTCCTAAGAATGGCCTGAATATGGATTTTTAAATGTTTTCTATTTGTAGTCACTTTTTCTATTTTAATTAAGTTATTGGATAAATTTCTACCCCTTTATTTTGTGCCATCACCTGTCTTTTCTAGTTTTTTAATTTTTTATTTAAAGTTATTTTTTGCTGGATGTAGAATTCCAGGCTAATAGTTATTTCCTGTCAGTATATTGAAAACTTCTGTCTTTATGGTCTCCACTTTGTTGCTGTTGTCTTTACTGTTCCTTTGAAGATACTTTTTGTCTCCAACCATTTTAAAGGTTTATCTACCTTTGGTATTCTGCAGCTTTACTGTGATGTGTCCCAGTGTGGTTTTCTTTGTACTTATCTTAATGGGATTCCTGAGGCTTCCTGATTCTATGAATTGATGTCTTTCACCTGTTCTAGAAAACTGTCTTATCTTCAATTCTCAGTCATCTTTCTCTGTCCCCACTGGAACTCTGATTAGACCTTCCTACTCCATCCTCCTTGTCTCTTATATAGCTCATATTTTCTCTGTTTCTGGCATTCTGGATAATTTCTACACATCTATCTCCCAGTTAAGTCTTTCTTCAGCTGCTAAACCAACATATTAAAGTTTTTTTTGTTTCTGTTTTTAGTGGTTGTACCCACTTATCTGTTGAGTTTTACATGTCAAATGTTTTATCATTTCTAGAAATTGTTTCGTTCCTTTTCAGACTTGCTTATTTTATATACTCTTGCTGTCTTACATTTTAAGTTTCCTTTTTCTTTAAATATATTGAAAACACATATTATATATTATTTGGTAATTCCAGTACCTTAAGTTTTTGAGGCCCGATTATGCAGGTTTATCGTTTGCTCTTGCTCACAATGCCATATTTTCTTGCAATTCATGAGTTTTGACTGTGACTTCATACTTTTTAGAATTTTATCAATGGGGATTTTTTAAGATTGAGTTAAAAGTAAATTCCTCCACAGAGGAAATATGTTTATCAGTTGCCTGATGACAAACCAACCCGGCACTTTAAATTCTCAACTAGGGGTGTTTTGGATCACCCAGGTATTGTCAATTCAGGTTGCACACTTATTCAGGCAGGCATGTGGTTAAAAATTATCAGGAGAGATTTTTTTTCCCCCCTTCTTCTACCCAGTACTAGACTTGGAAATAGGCAGTTTCTCTTGTTGATTCTATTAAGATTTTAAAGAACCAGCTTTTGGTTTTCATTGATTTTTCTCTGTTGATTTCCTATTTTTGATCTCATTGATTTCTGCTCTTTTTCTTTTATTTTGGATTTACTTTTGCTCTTCTTTTCCTAGTTTCCCATGGTGAAAATGTAGATTATTGATTTTAGGTCTTTTTTCTTTTGTAATATATCCATTCAGTGCTATAAACTTCCTTCTAAGCAATGCTTTCACTGCACCCACAAATTTTGATAAGTTGTTTTCGTTTTAATTTAGTCCAAAATATTTTAAAATTTGAGATTTCTTCTTTGACCCATGTATTATTTACAAGACTACTCTTTAATCTCCAAGTATTTTGAAAGTTTCCAATTATTTTTCTGTTACTGATTTACATTTTGGTGTGAGAGCAGACACATCATGATTTCTATTAAATCTGTTAAAGTGTTTTTTATGGTACAGAATATGATCTGTCTTGGTGAATGTTCTATGTGAGCTCCAAAAAAATGTGTATTTTAGTGTTGCTGAAGTAGTCTGTAGATGTCAATTAAATCCAGTTGATTGATGGTGCTGAACTCAACTATGTCCTTGAAAAGGTACCTTAATTAAAGACTGAACAGAGAACAAAAAGAGCTGAGAATTAAAATAACAAAATTTTAGGGAATTCCTTAGTGGTCCAGCAGTTAAGACTCTGTGCTTCCACTAAAGAGGGTGCAGGTTCGATCCCTAGCTGGGGAACTGAGATCTACATGCCATGTGGTGCAGCCAAAAAATAAAATAGAATTTTAAAAACAGTTCAAGAAAAAAAAAAACAGTTCCAGAAAAGAGATGAAAGGTAAAAATCTCTCAGAAAATAGAGCCAAAAGATAATACAAGAGAAGACAGAAGAAAATCAGAGGATTCAGTTCTGTTCTCTCTGAAATTATTATTTATCAGATGGTGGGCTTCATCAGAATTCCAGAGAGAACAGAGAAAATGGGAAGAAATCACTCAAGAAACAATTTTCTGGAATTGAAGGATGCAAACCTCCACCCTGCAGCATAACAACTAATGACACATGGTAATGTGTCAGATGTTTCAGAACCTCAGAGAAAGTCAGAAGCAAAAATGGCATGGAGCGTCTCAACAGCATTACGAAAAATCAGAATACAAGGGAGCACTACCTTAAAAATGATTTCCTTACATAAAAATGACTTTCACCTTTCAATTTCGACCCAAACTATCACATACATGTATGAAGTGAATAAAATCTTCAGACAAATGGTGTCTTAAAATTTTTAACTCTGGTGAGTTTTAAGATTCTTTTAAAAATAATTATCTTTTGGCTGTGCTGGGTCTTTACTGCTGCGTGGCATTTCCCTAGTTGCAGCGAGCAGGGGCTACTCTCGTGTTGCAGTGCGCAGGCTTCTCACTGCGCTGGCTTCTCTTGTGGAACACAGGCTCTAGGGCGTGCGGGATTCATCAGCTGCGGTTCGGGCTCTAGAGCACACAGGTTCAGTAGCTGTGCATGGGCTTAGTTGCTCCGTGGGATTCTCCCAGATCAGCAGTCAAACCCAGGTCTCCTGAATTGCAGGCTGATTCTTTTACCACTGAGCCACCAGGAAAGCCCAACTCTAGTGACTTTTTAGAGAAGGTACCTGTGGATGTGCTTCACCAGGTGAGGGGGTAAAAGAACTATGAAAAAGGACACAGGGTCCAGGAATTAAGGAATCTGGCCCAGAACACGGTAAACAGAATTCCCAGGAAAAGTGCCTGCTGCAGTTCTAGCACACAAACGGCACTCCCTTAAGCAGGGGATGAAGGGACACACCCAGAGGACCTGCCAGACCCGGTGGGAGAAGAACCATCAGCTGGTATACACAGAAAGCTCAGCAAAGGAGAAAAAAGCAGGGCAACTACGAACTCCATGAAAAATAAATACATACACAAAAAGGTCACTTAGTTACAGCCCCATTCTTGGCTCTGCAGTGGAGAGTCATGTAGTAATCTAAATAGTGAATATGGATTTACCTAACTGGGGAGAAAAGGAGAGGGCAGGCTGCTGCCACAAGAGAGCTAAAGCCTCTTCTGTTATGACAGGTAGCCAACAAATATTGTATAAGCATATTTATAGAAAAGCTAACAGAGCTGGAAATGATGGTAGCAGTGGCACAGTACTGAGGAATGGGAAGAGGCTGTTTCCTTGTTACAAATTGCCTGATTCCATAGTACTAAGTGGGGCTTCTCTGCTTGCTCAGACAGTAAAAAAATCTGCCTGCAGTGCATGAGACCCAGGTTCAATCCCTGCATCAGGAAGGTTCTCTGAAGGAGGAAATGGCAACCCACTCCAGTATTCTTGCCTGGAGAATGGGAAAGACTGAAGGCAGAAGGAGAAAGGGATGACAGAGGATGAGATGGTTGGATGGCATTACCGATTCAATGGACCCGAGTTTGAGCAAGCTCTGGGAGATGGTGAACAGGGAAGCCTGACGTTGCAGTCCATGGGGTTGCAGAGTCGGACACAACCGAGTGACTGAACAACAACATAGTATCACATCATGTAAATTCATATTAGGGGTTGGGCCTCGGGATCGTTTCTCCACTTTCATCATCATGGATAACTACGAGGAGAACCCAGGTGAGACTTCGTTCTGAGTTCACACAGTTCACTTCACAGGGGTGAAAGGGGCTGGAAGGTCATCTGGCCTCGCCACAGTGACACAGCTCCAGTGACAAGGGCAGGGCCTTCCATCGCTGATGAGCTCTCTTGGAAAATGCTTCAGGTTTGGTTGAAGTCTGACAGTGATGCCCCCTCTACCTGTCTTTCCATTTCCATATTGAACTTCCCCCTCATTCCCCCTGAGCCTCAGTCAGCTTTATCAAGGAACCCCAGACCACCCCGACCTAACTGGTCTATGTTTGCGAGTGGCTAGATCATGCAGACAGGAGGGGGATGGGTTCTTTCTTTGGTCCAGACCCCTTAATTCTCTTAACCTCACCCCAAATGCATTCCCTGCGGAGAGTGTGGCTGTGGCCTGTCCCTCACCATCTCCAGCATGGAGGCTGTTGTCCAGCAGAATCAATCAATGTGGGGTCCTTGGTCTCAAGAGCAAAAGTTCTGTGCTTACTCCTGCCAAGTACCCCCTTTCTGGAGTTGACTCCTGGTTTCTTTACAGGGGCTGCCAAACTCTAGGATATTAGAGCAGAATCTAGTCAAACCGCCTCCTTTTAAACTTGGGGAAATGGAAACACACAGAAACTTGGTTACTTCCCACAAGCCTAAGCTGTCTGCCACATGCTAGGCTGTACCTGGTCAGAAGACATAGGTCCTTCCTCAGTGGACAGGATTCCTGGCTTACAATGGCGCAGGGCGGCCGTGGGGAGCACTCACCCAAGAGACAACCGGCAGGTGAGCCAAGCAGACTGGCTAGGGGGCTCTAGGAGGCACCATGGGCCCAGACTGTGCGTCTCTGACCCCTAAGACCTTAACACGCACCTTTGTTCAATCCCTGACTTGACACCTAAGGCCTATGCTTTTCTAGCGTATCTCACACACTATGGCCACTGCCCAGTGACTTGCCACTCACCTGACTGACCTGGGCTCCAGGGCTTAGAACAGCATTTTGTTTGGCAGTTCTAGGCTTCTGCCTCCCAAGCCCCCTCCCCAGGACCCCAGAGATGCCCCTCCTATGTGCCCTGACCCCACCTTTCCTCTATCGAGCTGAGCCTTCCTCTCCTGGGGCCCCTAGCTCCCTGCCCAGGCACTCTCTGCCCTCCTATGCCAGCCTCTTCCTTGGCGATCTTTATGGAGCATCACAGGCCTGAGACCTTGGCTAAGCCCAAGACTTCAGAAGGGGCCCCTGTGGGAAGGCAACTATTCCTGGGGCCCCTGAATAGAAAGAGGGGGAGATTAGAGCATGTGCTTTGCCTGTAAGCTGAGCTGGCAAGAGCCAAGCCTCTGGCACCCCAGGGAGCAACAGGGGGCTCAGTCTCACCCGAGAAAAGCCTCTGACTATCTGGGGCCAGGCCCCTGCCAACTCTGCAGCAGCAGCAGCAAAGAGACGTGCCCAAGGAGAGCGGCAGAGAAGAAGGCGGGGCCTATGCCCTTATCTCAGCGTAAGTGCTGCAGAACTTTTCCTTTGGACCTGGGGGTGCTTTCTGGGGGAAAGTGGGGACAAGAGCAGAGTGGCAGGAGCCCACAGGATCAGCGCCTGGGTTTTCCTGAGGAGGAAGGCGCTCACTGACCCGTGTTGCGGGTCACCCAGTGGTCGGGGTAGTGAGGGAGGGGCGCCAGGAGAGGGGAGGGAGGCGGCAGCCTGGCGTGGGGCCGCACGGGAGCGAACCTGGGACTATGGACTCTGCCCGGCGCAGTGGAGGGGGCTGGATCCTCCTGGTTCTGGTTCCACTGGGTCTTTAACCCCAGCATGGGGTCAGGCAGCTGCCAGGCCCTCACTCATGGGCATGTTGATGTGGGCACTCAGCAGGGGTGTGCTCTGGCCTTCTCGAAGCACCAGCACCTATGGAGAAGGTGACCATGGTAGTAGGGGGCATTCTGCCTTCCCCTGCTGCTCCCCAAGAAGGCCAGCACGGCCTAGTCTGTACGGACCCTAGAGCAGGGCTCGGCCCAAGGGGAGGGGGAGCCTCTGCTGTGCAGATACCCAGCCCTTCTTGGCAGCCACCCAGGGCCTTGTCCACACTCACTCGCACTCCCCCCTGCACTAGTACCAACTGGCGACCTACCTTGATGATGTCTGAGATGCCCTTGTCACTAAGACTCTTCACAAAGGTCTCCAGGGGGTAGTTGAGCCCTGGCACCAGCAATGGGACCTAAGTTTGGGGACAAAGAGGTCAGGAAGTCAGCCCTCATGCCCAGCCAGTGTCTGGTAGATTTCAAAGCGCTGTCACCCTGCTGTCCCAGCTGAATGTCATAGCCTGGCGGGGCGGGCAGGGGGGACAGGCCCATTCAAGGGGCACAGGGCTCCAAGGTGAGTGAACGCCCCAGGCCTGTGTGCGTGTCCATAATTAAAGGTAAACTTTTTTTTTAGCTGTGCCGCATAGCACGCTGGATCTTGGTTCCCTGGCCAGGGATCAAACCCTGCAGGGGAGTGTGGAGTCTCAATCACTGGACTGCCAGGCTAGTCCCTAAACCTCTTGACCTCCAACCAAGTCCAGGGCTGTTTCTCCCACATACCAAAGTCCTTCTCAGTTTCTGGTCCTTCCAACTAAGGCTTAAATGTGGACCTGGGGAACACCAGGCCCTTCACTCTGGAAGGTTCTCCGTGGGGTTCCCATTCCTGCTGCAGGAGGGGCTGGACAGCAGGGTGGGCTGGGGGACCCCCCAGCACGAGCAGGCTTCCGACAGAGGCACAGGTGGGCCCCGGACTCTCACTGCTGTCCCAGCACCTTCCGTGTGCTGCCCTCAGACCTCGCACAGGCAGGGAGAAAAGCAGCTGGGGCAGGCAATCTCAGGGCTCTCCTCAGGGCCCCTGCTGCGCCCTAGTCAGCCCTGTAGCTGCAGCCACTTGCCAGCCCCCTCACCTCTGACCTGTGGGCATCCGATCAGACCCCACCCCACCCTTTGTCACGCCGGTACCTTGAAGAAGGCCCGGGGCAGAGCATAGAGCACCTCGTTGTACAGGAAGCAGACCACCAGCCCCAGGATGGGGCGGGCTGTTGACGTGTTCTGCAGGTGAAGGGTGAGCTTGAAGGTGGGGCCCAGGCCCTGAACCTGTGGAGAGGGTGGGGAGGGGAGAAAGCCCTTAGGACCTAGTGGGCTTGGGTGCTGAGGATGGTTGACCCCGGCCCTGCCCGCCTGCTTCCTCATCAGCATCAAGTCACCCTCCTCCAACTGCTCTGACGCATTGTCCATCAGTAGGCCCAGAGCTCAGAAGCTTGGCTCCGTGGGTACGGAGTTGAGCAGCGGCCCTGGAAGGAGAAGGTGGGTGGGAGGCAGGGCTGGCCTGGGCGAGCAGGCCCGGCTCCCGCCTGCGCCGGCCCACGGCCCTGCCCCTCTCCTCAGGGTCCAGCCCGCCTCCACCGCTCGTCCTCTGCCGGCTGCGGTGGTTTCACTTTCTCCCTCTCACTCCCTGTGCTCTGTAGCCTCTTCCGCTCTGGATCTCTCCGCTGTCTTCAGGGAAAGAGAGACTAGAACCCCAACTGGATCAGACCGCACACCTCAGGGAGCCGCTGAGAGCTGGTTGGAGGCCTGAGGACCTTGAGGTCAGGGTGTCTAAGGGCTCCCCGTCCTCCTTGTGCCTGTGTAGTCCCGGGACGGCCCCATCCCTGCCCCGGGCAGTCCGACCCCCTCGGGCTGCCGGCAGTTACTGAAGTGAACAGGCTCCTGAGGAGTCCCCCTCCAGGCTCCTGGGAAGAAACGTCCCAAGGTGACGACCTGGGGGCCGGGCCCCACGTCTGGAGGCTTGTCTGAGGCCCCACGTGGAATGAGGCGGCTGGAGAGCGTGCCCTGCTCTGCGGCCAGCTGAGGGGAAGAGGCAGTGCAGGTGAGAGAAGGCGAGAGCGCCCACGAGGAGGTCTTGGTCCCTGAGTCTGTGGGCAGGTGACAAGGGGCATGGGGCCTAGTTGCCTTGGAACCGGCTCTGGCCTGAGAGGTTCCCGCCCACCCCTGACCTCTGCCCCTCTGGCCCTGAGGTGGCCTGAGCACCCCCCTACCCCGAGAGCTCACCACGGCGTGCAGCTTGAGCGGCTCCTGGGCCGTCACAGACACGGGGCTCAGGCTGGACTCAAGGGCCTGCACGTAGGCACGGGCCGCCCGGAGACGCAGCAGGTAGAGGTCCGCCTGGAAGGTCCGGTGCATGGCTGAGGGGAGGGACACGAGGGGCTGATGGTGAGGAGGGAGGGGGGCAGGGCGGGAGGAGGCGCCCGTCCTGGCCGCCGTGGGGAGAGGGTGAGAGGAAGGCACGGGGGGCAGAGGCTGGGAGCGTGCAACAGGGGTCCGAGGTCCCACTGCCAGCCTCTGGATGCTGTGGACCGCTCCCTGCCCCTCCGCCCGGCTTCTCCCACCTCCTGGCCGCCGGCGCAGTCTCGGCCTCCTTTGTTGCGCAGGGCCCTGCGCCTTTACCCAGGCCTCTGCCGAAATCTCCCTTCCCTGTCCCTGTCTGGCTGGTGGACTTGTAATCATCTTTTAAGAGTCAAATACAATGTCATCTCTCTCTAAAGCCTTTGCCAGGCTCCCAGGCAAACGCACTCTCTTGCGCGCCTCAAAAGCACTCCGCAGAGACTTCCGCACCTATCATGCAACGTGATGTTAGCAAGGTCTACTGAGCTCTTTAGGTAGGGACTGGCCTGATCCAAGGCACTTAGCACAGGGCCTGGCATAATCACAGGTACTGAATGAACAAAAGAGCATGACAAGTTACACAGGAAAAGGAAGAACCTTGATCAAATTCTACTGAGAATTCCTGCACCTAGAACTGGCTGCTCCCTCCTCTGAACTCGAGGGGCAGCCGCAGCACTGTCTGCCTTGAGCTCCAATTCCTTGTTGGCAGGGTATACTTCCGAGGCTGTCTCTGGGCCTCCAGAGGCGTGAGACCCGCCCGGCTCGCCCAGGTCTCCTCCCGCTGCTCAGGGCACCCAGGTGGCGTTCACCCAGTTGCTGCCACTTTGGGGGAATGGAGGAGGAGGAGGAGGGACTCGGCCTGAGCCTCACCGGTGCCAGCTTCCCGCTCTCGCAGCGTCTGGTCCACATAGATCCGGGTCTTCCGGGGCACATTGAGTTTCACGGGCTGGCTTAGTAGGGGGTCCGCCTCACCTCCCCCCTCCCCAAACACTGCTGTGCGCTTGAGGATCTTCATGATCAGGCCACCGCCTAAGGGAAGAGGACAGATGGCAGATGTGTCCTCCCCAGGCCCACCCAACAGTCCCATTCTTTTTCCCCAATCTGCCTCATGTTGACCCTCTTCTGTCTCCTTGCTGAGACTGTAGGTCTCTGAAAGGAATGAAGTGTGTCCTATAAGTAATGCATTCATTCATTTAGCAGTTATTTATTTGTCTGGGCAAGTCACTTGGCTTGCGGGATCTTAGTTCCCTGACCAGGGATCAAACCTGAGTCACCTGAGTGGAAACATGGAGTTCTAACCACTAGACCACCAGGAGAGCTCCTAGCAGATATTTACTGACCATTTTGATGTTCCTGTGGCAGACACTGGGGTGAACGGGAGACACAGCCAGGGCCTGGCCCCAGGCAGTGACATCAACCTGCTGATGAGCTGTCCCCAGCCAAGGCCCAGCCCCAGAGAGGACAGTGTCTGCAGACCCTGCTTCCCAAACCCAGGCCCACCATGTTCCACATCCACCTCCTCTTCTTCCCAGGGTCTGGTCCCACGGACTCCCAGCTCTAAAACCCTCACGAGGCCTGACCCTCCTTACCTTGTGTAGTCATGATGAGGGTGTTATCTTCCCGTCCAAAGCGGCCAAAGCAAAGGCTGGTCACTGCCTCCTATGGTAGAGACACCAGAGTTTAGTTGGGAAAAGATCTCAGTGAAGAGAACAGGGCTGGGAAGAGGGGGGGTAAGGCTGGGAGACTCCAAATATGATGTAAGAGGTGAAATGTGAGGTGAGGCCAGGGGCTATGCTGCCTCTGAAATATTTCCTGTATTTCTAACCTCCCTTCACCCCACTCCCTGCTCACTGTCATGGCCATAGTTCCAGATTGGACATCACTGGCCTTTGGGTTCAGCTTTCTAACAGGTCTCCCAGCCGTCTTTTTCCCCAGTCTGTCCTTCAAACAGCTGCTTCTGTTGCCTTTCAAAATACAAATATGACCATGTCTGTTCTTGGCTGAAAAACCTCCAATGGTTTTTGCTCTCCTTGTTCACACATTCAAGGCCTTCCATATTTGACTCCAACCTGCCTTTTCTCTTTGTCCTTTTCCCAACCTGCACACCATACCGCCTGCCCTCCAGAAAGCCTGTGGTCTAAACCAGCTGCTTTCAAATATTATATTGTGACATATGACACTTTACACATACATACACACAAAAGTTTAACATGTGATACACTCTGAACTTTTTTCTGGTTCTGTTACTGGCTCATCAAATTGATGTGATGACTCAAAACTTTGTTTGAAAAACTCTGGTCCAAATTCATCAAACTACCTGGATTCCTTTGTCAAGAACACTCATACCTCTCAGCCGTTGTTCATGTTATTTCCAGTCTGGAATATTACATCTTCATTTATCTACTCCATTTCTCAGAGCAAACTGCTTCGAGGACCAGCTGAATTGTATCTGCTCTGTGAAATCGCTCCTGAGTTCCATCCCTATGTATCTCTCACTACCACCCCCAGTCACTATAGTCTGTCTCTGCGCTTTTTCTGGGCTTTGTTTTGCTTTAGGCTGTCTTGTATTTGAATCAGCTGTGTTTCTGGCTGGCTTGCACCTTAGACTGCAAGTCCCTTGACAATAAGGATTTGGTCATTGTTTTATCCTTCCAATACAGTGAGTTGTGCAGATGAAATACTCAATGAACATTTTCAAAATACATCAAAAGTTAAGGGTGGCAGGTGGAGTGGGATCAGGAGAGGCAGTGAGTGAGCCCCAAAGGTGGGAGCGGGGCAGGGAGGAGTCAGCAGCTCACCGGTGTGTGGATGATGTTGAGCAGGGCCTTGTCCTGGTAAATGCGGACCTCTCTATTGGCCAGCCCGGCCATGACGGCCTGCAGGCCCCGGGAGTGCTGCTCCAGGAGGTTCATGGCCAGGATGGCTGCAGGCATCTGCACTGTCCACAGCTTCTTACCCTGGGAGGGAACAGCTAAGTGTCTACTGGGGGCTCAGCGCTGAGGAGTGGAAAGAAGTGGGTGGCTGGAGTTGCGGGGAAGGGAACGCCAGAAGGGCTCGCCTGCTGAGGGGGCCCAAGGAGACAAGGGTGGAGGGGCTTGGGGGTGCTTGCCGTGAGATCACACCTTGTGGGTGAAGCCGTGCAGGCTGTCTTGGTTGCTGCCCACCACCAGGACTTTGTGCACAAGGACAAGCCCCACAGGCTGGGCGCTCAGCTCGATGCAGTACTTGGGGCGCTTGGAGTCTCTGTGGAATGAAGACACACAGCCCAGAGCTTCCCTGGTGGCTCACGTGGTAAGAAACCTGCTTGCATAGGACCAGCTGAATTGTATCTGCTCTGTGAAATCGCTCCTGAGTTCCATCCCTATGTATCTCTCACTACCACCCCCAGTCACTATAGTCTGTCTCTGCGCTTTTTCTGGGCTTTGTTTTGCTTTAGGCTGTCTTGTATTTAAATCAGCTGTGTTTCTGGCTGGCTTGCACCTTAGACTGCAAGTCCCTTGACAATAAGGATTTGGTCATTGTTTTATCCTTCCAATACAGTGAGTTGTGCAGATGAAATACTCAATGAACATTTTCAAAATACATCAAAAGTTAAGGGTGGCAGGTGGAGTGGGATCAGGAGAGGCAGTGAGTGAGCCCCAAAGGTGGGAGCGGGGCAGGGAGGAGTCAGCAGCTCACCGGTGTGTGGATGATGTTGAGCAGGGCCTTGTCCTGGTAAATGCGGACCTCTCTATTGGCCAGCCCGGCCATGACGGCCTGCAGGCCCCGGGAGTGCTGCTCCAGGAGGTTCATGGCCAGGATGGCTGCAGGCATCTGCACTGTCCACAGCTTCTTACCCTGGGAGGGAACAGCTAAGTGTCTACTGGGGGCTCAGCGCTGAGGAGTGGAAAGAAGTGGGTGGCTGGAGTTGCGGGGAAGGGAACGCCAGAAGGGCTCGCCTGCTGAGGGGGCCCAAGGAGACAAGGGTGGAGGGGCTTGGGGGTGCTTGCCGTGAGATCACACCTTGTGGGTGAAGCCGTGCAGGCTGTCTTGGTTGCTGCCCACCACCAGGACTTTGTGCACAAGGACAAGCCCCACAGGCTGGGCGCTCAGCTCGATGCAGTACTTGGGGCGCTTGGAGTCTCTGTGGAATGAAGACACACAGCCCAGAGCTTCCCTGGTGGCTCACGTGGTAAGAAACCTGCTTGCAATGCAGGAGACCCAGGTTCTATCCCTGGGATGGGAAGATCCCAGGAGGAGGGCACTGCAGCCCACTCCAGTATTCTTGCCTGGAGGACTACAGTCCATGGGATCGCAGAGCAACTGAGCAACTAACGCTCACTCGCTCGCTCACTCCCAGTCCAGAAACCTTCTCTCCTTCCCTGGCTGGCCCTCCTCTTTCCAGGCCCCACAGATGATCCTGGGAGCAGCCCTGGCCCACAAGCAGAGGACCCAGGAACTAGTTCCACCTCTAGGACTTCGTAGTTGCATGACCTTGGATAACACAATGTGTGTTTTCCCTCCTGGTCTTCCTCACAACTTCACTACAGTGATCTGTGGGATAACTTGGCGTTTACCAGTCTACAGCGAGTGTACATCAGGTGAGACAAAGTAATGGACTGAGATTCCATTTAGTATAATAGTTTAGTAATTTATCAGAAAATCAGGAGGAGTTTGCTCTGTGTGGATGCAGTGTTTTCAGTTTCCTGACATCTAAATCTTTATTTCTCTTATCTAGAAACTCTGGCCCACCTTTCTTAAGTATAAGCCAGAGACATCTCCCATCTGATGACTCATCTGAAGAGGTTCCCATTGGTCTCTGGGCCTAATCCCAATCTACCCTCCAAAATGAACATGAATCATGTCATTCATCATATCTTCTGAGTCAAAACCCATAATGTTTTCTATTGCCCTTCAGATGAAACCCAAAATCTTCACCATGTCCTACCAGGTCCTGCATGAGTTGACCTGATCTCCAGGTCATCTCTTGCCACCAAGCTCAAGTGGCACATGCCAATGTCTTTCCCACCCAGAGTTCACTTACATGCTCTCTGCCACTTTTTTGAACTGGATCCTTCTTAACTGTCAAGTAATCTCTTCATACAGGCATTCACTGATCACCCTGACCCCCTTTTTTTCCTCACTGAGCCAGTACTTTTCCTCCATAGCATGTATCCAATTTGTAATATAATCTTGGTCTTAATATGTCTTTCCACAAGGGTAGGGACTACATATTTTGTTCATCAATATATCCCCAATACCTCATGCAATGCTTAATTCATAGCAGGTACTCAAAAAGATTTCTTGAATTAAAAGAATGACAGTTAAGAAACATCAAACTAATGCATGAGGAAATTTCCCGTACCTATAAAAGCAATAGAACAAATAGGAGAGACCATTTTTATCTAATATCTGATTGCACTGCTAGTGTCACAGCCACCCAGCCTAGTCTCTCACTTTGCCAGGCCGCACTGGACAATCCTCCAGCCATCCCTTGTGCTCAAGGGCTCTGCCTCCTGTGAAGCTCTGGGCTCTTTCCAGTCCCACGTTCTCACTCCAAAGCCCTGCTCATCTTGTAAGCCCTCGAAACCACTAGGTTTCTGAGATGTTCCTTCTGACCCTAGAGAGCTCGGATGTGGCTACCTTCTCAGCATATAGACGCTCCCGTTGCGGCAGGCAGCGGCAAGACGAAACTCCACCTCAAACTGGCCAGAAACCTCCAGGAAGACAGGGACGCTGGGGAGGCTCATCTGCAGAGAGACTCAAACACCCCGGTTTCTCTGGAGCCCCAGCCCCTCCCTAACCTGATGTCACCTAAGTCCCCATCGCCTCACTCACACCCTCCTGGGCACAGTTTAAAACTTAAACAGTTTCTCTGGAGGGGAACAGGTAGCGAAAGCCTTTAAGTCTACACCCTTTGACTAAACTATGCCATTTCTAGGAATGCGTGTAAGGAGGTATTTAGATAAGTACACAAAGATACGTGGCAAGGAAGCCTACTGTGGTGGTGGTTAATAACAGCAAGAAACTGAAAACAACTTAAACATACAATTGGCGACAGGGTAAAGAAATTACAGAATATTTATATAACCAATGTTATGCGGCCTCTGAAAAGGCTGACATGCTTTTATATGGACATGGAAAGATACTGATGAGCTACTGCTGCTTGAAAACAGCAGGTTACAGGATCCTACAACATGGGGCTGTTTTGTTAAAAAATAAATAAATAAATAAATAAATAAATTGAAAGTTATATACCCGTGTCTAAATATGAAAATGTCTACAAAGACCTGTGCCAAAACTTTAACAGAAGATATGCATGAGTGGTAGGATTTGGGGATATCTGTCTTCTTTATGCCTATCTACATTTTATAACTTTCTACAATAAACAGGTATCCCCAAGACTAACTAACTGGGGCAGGAGATTTGGGGGAGCAGGGGGAGGGAGTGGAGCCTGTGCCTCGGTGTGCCCAGGGCCAGGCCCCACACTGACCTTGGCCAGAATGGTGAAGGCCTTCGGGTCTAGTACCAGGAGCTCCTTGCTCTCAGTGCCCAGCACCAGGCAGGACACAGCATCCTCGTCAGCCAGGTTCTTCTTTAAGGTGGTCATGGTGGTGATGACTGTCTGCAGAAGGACTCCAGGGTCACCCGGGAGATCCCCTCACACCGTCTCCCACCCCAGCTACTCCCAGGACGCCCCAGAAAGACAGAGGGCAAAGGAGGAAGAAGAGTATTAGAGATGTGACAGGTTTACCTACAAAAGTGTTGATTGCAACAAACCTAATTTCCTAACAAAAGAGGATTCTTTAAGTCAATTATTAACTATCTATATGATCAAAACCCACATGGTCATTTGCCAAAATCAGATTTTAAAAGAAGATTCAATGACAGAGAGAATGTTTCTAATGTATTAAGAGAAAATACAGGTTAAAAGTTACATTAGTATTATCTCAGTTAAAAAAAAATATATATGAATAAAAAAAATCTTGGAAAGCTAAACCTGTAAATACAAACACTGGTTATCTCTGGACAATGACATCACAGGCAAGGTTTAATTTATTCATTGTGCTCTTCTGCAGTTTCTACAGTGGGCATATGTTCTTCTAATTGTGATTGGAAAGAAAATGAAAAGAGAGGGAGATGATCCCCTTTTTAGGAATTTCTCCTATGGAAATAATTTAATGGGACTAAAATGTTTCTCTGGATAAAGCTGTTCACTGAGTTGACTATCTTTAAGATTAAAAAAAGAGGAATCCTCAATGCCTAGTGGAAGGAGAAAAGTTACAGAAATGTTGATGCTAGTGGCTTCCAACCATGGAGCTGCGATGCATAGCTGGAAAGATGGCCTCCCCCACGCTGCATCTTTTAAGCAATACTTAACTCACTCCCTGATTTTAAATGTACTCAGAGATAGTGACGATTGTGGATCTGAGCTGCTGATCAGCAGGAGAGAACAATGTTTCTCAGGGAATTATCTACGGCAAGCCAAACACAGAGGTATGTGTTGGTCAATGTATTCGGCTCAAGTGGCCTCTATAGCAAATGGGTGGTTCCTATGTGGCTTTCTAAAATGCAGGGACAGCTCTGAAAGCCCATCCCTGGAAGAGGCTCAGCCCCCAAGGTCAGGAACCACTAGAGCTCATCAATAAGTAGGTCTATCAATAAGGCCAATAAAATCCTAACTAAGAAAAATACTAAGTGAATAAAAAGAAGACACTTCTTGACCAATGATCTGCACCGAATAATTAAATTATGAATGAATAATGAATCATCAATGAAATAATCAAGGGGCCACTAAAAATGGAGTTCTTCAAGACTAATGCTCAAGATACAATGTTACGTGCTCAAGGAAAGCAGGATATAAAAGCATGTTTATGAACGAAATGTTATCAAAATGGTAAGAGTACTCTGAGTAGTAAGAGTATAGTCACTTGTATTTCTCCTTTGTATTTCTATTTTCAAAATTTTCCCTAATGAACATATTTTACCTTTACCCCCCAAGATGATAAAAGTTATATAAGTCACATAACTGTATCTATCAACTCAAAGCTGTCACTGCTAAGCGAAATGGAGAAGCCCTGCAGACTACACAGGTGGCACAGGCTGGAAGGGAAACTGCAAAATAAAACTTGTCCGGTTTGGCTTTACCACTAATGTTACGTGGTCTGTTTAAAAAAAAAAAACTGTATATCTTACAGGGAAATGAGAAGGGGCAGTACCTGCCGCCTGATGGACTTGGACTTGTGCTGGTTCACAAACGCCTCCATCTCACTCAGCTCCACCTGCAGAAACCTGGACACATAGAGTGGGGACATCTGTGCACCCAGGCCCTGCCTGCCCTCCACAGGCCAATCCACAGCTTCTCCCCCTGCCCTCCCTGGGAGCTTCTGGAGCCCTGGCCGTCCAGAGGGCCCTTACCTGAGTGACTGTACAGACAAAGGCACCTCTGCCTTCTCCCTGTAAGGAGAACAGGGCCAGTGTAGGGGAGGGGGTGTCAGACGGTGGGCTCTGGGATGAAGGAGTAGGAACTGGGGGGTGAGGGAGGCACATGAAGGGGAAAGTGGGCTCTCACCTGATGCCTTCCAGCATCTCCTTCAGGGTCAAGGGGTCAATCCGGTCCTGTGCCACCACGGGAAGAAGGTAGAGCCTGTGAGCTCCAGAGCCAGGCAGGGAATGAGGCCCACCCGCAGTGGCCACCTCTGCCTTCTTGCTCTCATCCCCCAGGTCGCTTACCTCTTTGGCCTGATTCCAAACGTCTTGTTCCAGGGGGTTTACAGGCAATGGGGGCAGGCTGAACTTGAAGTAGGGCTTGAGATTCTTATACATATACACACAAGGGCCTGATGCGATTGCCACTGCTGGTGTCTGGGGCTCATGTGACTCCATGAGGAAGGTGACAGCAGCAGCTGGCAGGGCAGGTAGCGGGCTTTCCCTCAGCACTGTTCCTTTAAGCACCTTCAGGCGGGGCTGCCGCCCATCTGGGCCAAGGTCTCCCACGACCAGCTGCAGAGAGAGGCTGGCTGATTCCAGGCTTAAGGTCTAAAGACCCCCTACTGCCCCTCTTCCTGGGCTTAGCTTTTTGCTGGTGCACACCCATACACACTCAGAGTGTACCACAGGTGGGTGGGAGGGGGGCAAAGGCTTTGCAAGCTGTGTGCCCTTGGGAAAAATGACTTCCTGAGCCAGTTTTCCACCTGCAAAATGGGAATACCTACCACGCGACAGGGGCTTCCCAAGTGGTGCTAGTGGTAAAAACCACAAAACCTGCCTGCTAACGCAGGAGACCTAAGAGACGCAGGCTCAGTCCCTGCTGGGCCACGAAGATCCCCTGGAGGAGGGCATGGCAACCCACTCCAGTATTCATGCCTGGAGAATCCCATGGACAGAGGAGCCTGACAGGCTAGTCCATGGGGTTGCACGAGGTGGACACAAGTGAAGCAACTGAGCACGCAGCCATGCACACCGCAGGACACTTGTAGTGAAAGTCAAATGAGACAGTGAGTTACAGAACCTAGCGAGGAACAGGGGGCAGCTGATACTTTCAGTATGTGTTCAGTAAACGTTTCTTCAGGGCCTGCTCCATGCCAGACACTGTTCTACACACTGGGACAGTGACTGAGGTCACTGGGGAGCCTGAAGCTCATATCTGGGCTCTGAGGCTGGGCTTCCAAATGGGAAAGGAGCTAAAGATGCAGAACCCAGTGCGCAGAGTGGGATGTGCTCTAGCAACCCACAGAGGAGAACCAAGCTCTTCTATTTCCACGCTCCAAGCCACTGAAGCTGCCATGCAAGCCCATTCTCCTGAGTGAAGCCTGCAAGGCCCCTCTGATCTAGCTCCCAGCAGGTTTTCTATCACTTCCCCATCCAGGCTATGCTCCAGCCGGAAGGCAGGCTGCCATGAATGCCTGGGTTCCGAGCATGCTCAGTGTGCCTGGAGCCACACCAGTAACTTCATGTACCCTTTTATTTAATCCAAGCAACAACCTGTGAGGTAGATACAATTATTAGCCCCATTTCACAAATCAGGAAGCTATAAGGCTTAGAGATGTTAGGTAAAAGTCACATAGCTAGTAGGTGGCAGAGGAAGGTCTTGAATCTAAGTCTACCTGAATCCAAAGCCAGTGGTCTTGGGACTTCCCCGGCAGTCCTGTGGTTAGGACTCTGCCTTCCAATGCAGGGGGCATGGGTTTGATTCCTGGTTGGGGAACTAGGGTCCCACATGCCGCAGGGTACAACCAAAAATTAAAAAACAAAGCCACTGGTTTTAACTACTGTTTTATATTGGCCTCAACTTTCTAATGTTCAATTTACTCTCTTCAACTATGCTGTGAGTTTCCAAGCCTCTTTGCCTTTGTTTGTGCAATTCCCTCTTCCTGGAATGCCCTCCCCTCTTCCATGCCTTCTCGACACACTTCATTCATCCTTCAACACAGTTCACATAGTACTGCCTCCTCCTGCCTCCAGTTTAGGACAGAGGAGCCTGGCAGGCTACAGTCCATGGGGCTGCAAAGAGTCGGACACAACTATTGCAAAGAGTCGGACACAACTAAGCAACTAAGCACATGCAGTCTGTGATTTCTCCACCCTTCACTGCTGTCAACCCAGCACCAAGGATACACCAGGTGTTCAGTCAAAATTGTGGATGAATCAAGGACAGTGTCCGTGTTTCCTTCTGACTACGGACTGATTCATTTCTCAGTTTAGCGTCTGCACAAAAACTTACACACACACAGTAGGGGTTCACTGTGTGTGTTAGTCGCTCAGTCGTGTCCGACTCTTTGCGACCCCATAGACTGTACCCTGCCAGGCTTCTCTGTCCATGGGATTCTCCAGGCAACAACACTAGAGTGGACTGCTGTTCCCTTAACCAAGGGGTTCACTGTATGCTTGCTAAATTGTTGAATGCTCTATGGATAGGGATTTGGGGGCCAAAGCCACGAATCTGAGTGCACTGTCCAAGCAGGATATGACTCCTTTCTAGCTGCCATCATAACATATCCATTGTAGGTTACTGCCCTTGGTGAGGGCTGAGCAGTAATGGAACATGTGATGGGGAATTTGACAGACCCAGGTCTGCCACCTTTTACAAACTCGGTAAACTCAGCCTTTTGGTATCTATTTTCCCACTAATAAAATGGAGATAAACAATATCTATGTATGTGAAAATGCCTCAAAGAGGGTCTAGTCCAGAAATGAGTACTCAATATATGTTCACTTCTTTTCTTTAGCTCAATAATTTCTCAACCTTTAAAAAAATCTGTGCCTTTAAATTTTTTTACTTTATTTCTTTACTTATCTTTACATTTTTATCTTGGTTTTAAATTTAATCTTTTTATTATGGAAAGATTTCAGTCATACATGAGTCATAGAGACTCATATAATGAACCCCCAAATAGCCATCATCCAGTTTCAAGATGATCAGCTCATGGTTAACCTTAAAATTTATACCCTTTTGATAAATATAAAACTCTCAGTCTCCTCCCTTTTAAATTCCCTCCAGATTCTGACGCCCCACCCCCAACCATGGGATGTACCCTTCCAGCAAAGAATTAACGTCAACAAAATGAAGAGGCTTTGTCTTAGTATAATCTCCAGCAGCCTTTTGTTTAGCTGTACTTTCTGCAGTCTGTCATATGAAATCAACAGGTTCTCTCCACTTCCACGTTAAAAATAAAGCGTAACACTAAACGTGCTTTTTCAAAGTGCACATGAATTCCAGACTACGTTGAGCTTCTTTGGAACTATCAGGAAACCTCACTTCTGGGGTGACAGGCTTACCTCGTACTCCCCGTCCCCGTGCAAATCGGCCAGCGCTGGAAAACATAAAAAGGGCCATAAACCAGGGTCTCAGCATCCTAGAAGCTTAATTATAGGACCATCTGACTCCCCGGTCTCCCCAGAACCGGGGTTCCTGGTCCCAGAGACTCACCCATGCAGGCGGGAAAGGTGTGGATGTTCGTCATGGGATCGGAAACTGCGTTCAGCCATTTCGAACTGGCCTCACTGCTGGGAGAAGAGGGACAGAGTTGGGGGACGCGGGTGGAGGGTCGGGGGGCAGAAGATGAATCCCAGGGGAAGGAAGAACATTTTGCGGGAACTGGTTTCTGGGAATGAGGTGTGTAGGAAGCTCTGAACTAGGGGGATAGAGTCAGCGTCCAAGTTCCGGCTCCCCCACCGCAGCACTCGAGTCACCCACACACACCCAATCACTCCCTGGGTCTGCTTCCCTATGGGATCTTTAAGAGCCCTTTAAGGACTGCCAGCGCTGCTGAGACTCACAGGATCCCAGATCCCAGGGACCGGGGCCTCATCTTTATATATGCGGGAAAAGGGGTCTCAAGGATTCCAGCCTTCACCTCTTGCCTTTGTCGCCGTCTGCCTGCAACGAAGACGTAGCAGCCATCTTCCCAGGCGTCACCTTGGCAACCGGGTCTGGCCAGCCGCCGCGCGGCGCCCAAAAGCGCCCGGGTTGGGAGGAAGCTTGAGTGTCAAGGTTCCGGGCGCTCAACTTTCCGGCCCGGGACGGAGAGGCTACTGAGCAAGTTGCGCTGGTCCTTGCGCCGGGGGGTTTCTACCAGCTGAAATGCAATCCCTCATTCCGACGTATATAATTTATCTCTGATTCTTCCCATCAGGAGCTTCTAGGCCCTGCACCTCTGGCTCAGCCGCGGGACCCTCGAGCTTTGAGGCTTGGAGAGGTACCCTTCTCCAGTTTAATAGCAAAACTAACTCGTCCGCTCATCCTCACGGTTAACTGGGTGGAAAGAGGGCCACGTCCTTTCTTCCCTCCTTACTCTCGAGGTCCAGGATAGAGAAGCAAAACATAAAGGTTAAGGGATTAACTCCTGGGCTCCCCTGGTGGCTCAGTGGTAAAGCAGCCATCTGTCTGCCAATGAAGGAAACACCTGTTCCGCTTAGAAGATCTGGTCTGGGAAGATCCCACGTGCCACAGAGCAACTAAGCCACAATTCCTGACTCTGCCCCTCTGTGGCAAGTATTGAAGCCCCAGTCCTAGAGCCTGTAGACCAGCTGCCAAAAATAGATTAAAAGAAAAAAAGAGAGCAATTAAATCTAGGATTGAGGTGTTCCAATTTTTTTTGTTGTTGCTGTTCAGTCACTCAGGCCTGTCCCTCTTTGCGACCCCACAGACTACAGTAAGCCAGGCTTCCCTGTCCTTCACTATCTTCCGGCGTTTGCTCAAACTCGTGTCCATTGAATCAGTGATGCCATCCAACTATCTCATCCTCTGTTACCCACTTCTCCTGCTTTCAATCTTCCCCAGCAGCAGGGTCTTGTCTAATGAGTCGGCATTTCACATCAGGTGAACAAATGGAGCTTCAGCTTCAGCACCAGTCCTTCCAATGAATATTCGAGGTTGATTTCCTTAAGGAATGACTGGGTTGATCTCCTTGCTGTCCAAGGAATTCTCAAGAGTCTTCTCCAACACCGCTGTTGGAAAGCATCTGTTTTTCAGCTCTTAGCCTTCTTTATGGTCCAACTCTCACATCCATACATGACTACTGATAAAACCATAGCTTTGACTATACAGACTTTTGTTGGCAAAGTGATGTCTCTGCTTTTTAATATGCTATCTAGGTTTGTCATATCTTTTCTTTCAAGGAGCAAGCGTCTTTTAATTTCATGGCTACAGCCATGATCTTAGTTCCAGTTTTCAGCTTCTTCTTTAAAACAGAAGAAAAGCCATGAAGGAGGATGGCAAAAATTGTGTTATGTTCATCTATGTGACTCTTTGCATATCCATATTTAGAGGTGATGTCAAAATCCTGTTGTGGATGGGAGCCTAAAAATGACCCTCCTTCCCTCTCCCTAGGACTTGATCCCACCACCCTGCTGGGAGCAAATGAGACGTAAGGCCAAGGCCAGGAAGAACCACACAAATTGCAAAGATGGTGGTGGTGTCTAATATTTATTTTTCTGGTTATAAAAGTAATACATGAAGAGCACTGGATTGGGAGAAGTTTTGAATCCTGCAGGATTTAGCCAGGTCAGTTTCTCAGAACTTGTACTTCCTCATCTGGGAAGCCGGAGGAGGAGCCTTGCCCACCCCACAGAAGGCAGTGTAGATCAACTGAGATAACACAAGGGAAGCACTGGTAAGCTGGAAAGTGCTGACAAATGGAAGGGCTTAGTGTCACCACCCTTGGCTGAGGTAGCACCAAGGTCCAGGCTCCTGCCCCTCTCCTGGGCCCACAGAAAGGGGTCCACTTGCAGCCTTGGTTTGACTGAGTCGGAGAGGGGCCTCACAGGTGCCTTAAGCCTGGCCAGATGGGGCTTCACTGGGGCCCTTCCAGAACTGGGCATCAGCGGTGGCCAGCTGGGTGAGGATCTTCTCCAACTCGGGCCCATCCTCTAGGAAGCGCTCAGAGAAGGATCGGATGAGGCCTGCAGCCGAGGCCTCATACTCAAGAAGTTGTACTTCTGAGCCTGGGGAGGAGATGGAGAAAAAACAGCAGCAGGAAAAGGCTTTAATAGGGAAACAGAATCATAATCGTAATCATAGGAGCAGCTAGTTCTTCCTGAGTTTTTACCATGTGCCAAAAATTGTGCTCAATATTTCATTATCTAACTGACTCCATAATCCTATGAGATAGGAAACATTAAAGGGGGAGTATTTAATGAATTGCTGCATTCATTCAGTCACTTAATAAAGATTTACAACAGTCCCATGCTAGGTGAAACAGACACAGTCCTTGGCCTCCAGGAGCTTACAGTCCAGGAACTGCTTTATCTCCATTTACTGTGGGGCCCTGGGCAAGTTTCTTAACCGAAGCCTCAGTTTCCTCATCTGTAAAGTGAGGGCAAGCATAGTACATCTCTCAAGAAGCTGTGGTGATTAAATATGATATAATGGGTGGAGGGAGCACTCAGCAAGTGCTAGCTATCATAAGCATCACAATCTCTGAGCCTACTTCCTCATCTGTCAACTGGGGCTGTTCCAAGGGCGCCCATCTAACCTATGGGGTGTTTCTGAATAGTCGTGGGAAGCACTTCCTTCTAACATCCCTCCACTTCTCTACCTGCTCACAGTGCCTCATTGTACTCTGTGGCCTTATGGGATGTATGCAGCTAAGAGCACAGGCTCTGAGCTCAGATGGCCCAAGTTCAAATCCTGGTCCTGCCAGCCACTCACTGTGTGACTTCAAATACACAGCCCCTCTGTGTCTCAGTTTCCAGCTGAAAAAGGGGAAACTTCCTCATTTAAGTGTTGGGAGTTGATACGTGGAGAGTTTTTACCCAGACTCTGGCACACGGAAGTCCTCAAAAGTGAGCTATTAACACCATCACCACCACCTTTGAAAATTCAACCTGTTCTTTTGGGCCTCAAAGTTTAACCCCTACTTCCTCCCCAGACCCACCTTTCCCCAATTCTCTCAAAGGTAGATATGATCTTCCCTTCTCTAAGTGTTCAGATCACTGTTTGTGTCTCTTGGGCACCCATGAACACTTCCCTTGGAAGACCATTTCTCTCTCTGTCTTATTCCTAATGAGCTGAGAACAACTTGAGGTGAGGAGTCCATCCCCAGCGCCTGCCCAGGGCTGGACAGTCAAAGCAATGATGATCTTGTCCATGTAATGAGCACTTGCGGGGAGCCCGGCATAATCCACTCACTCACTCACTGACAGGCACAGAGTGGCTCCCCGTGGGCCAGGCCCTGTGCTAGGTGCCGGGGACGTGCTGATCCTGTTGCCATGGAGAGGAGCAGACAGGAAATCAGCAGAGTGAGAGCCGCATGAGGAAAAGAAAGCTGGGTGACCGCTCAGAGGGTGTGCCTGCAGGGTGGTGAGCCAGGGGAGGGCGCTGGCAAACCCCATGACACCTCTGGAGCGCAGAGTGGAGTTTATGTTGTTTTTTAACTGTTTTAAGTGTTTTTTATTTTAATCATTCTTTTTTTTTTTGGCTGTACCATGAGGCCTACATGGGGGACTGAACCCAAGTCCCAGTAGTGAAAGTGCTGAGTCTCAGCCACTGGGCCACCAGGGAATTCCCTAGAATTTAGAATAAACCTTTTACATGCTTTTTCCTAAGAGGAGGTAATTATTTCATTTAACCCTCACAGCTTCCCGTGACTACTGTAGTGAGGAGCAAATGCTCTTAATCTGACTCTTGGTTCCTCCAGTAAAAAGCTGTAAGCCTTAAGTAATTGGCTCTGTCTGCCTCAGTTTCCTTATCTGTAAAATGGGGGCAATAACACCTACACTTTACTGGGTATTGTGAGTATTTAAAGGGTGAATCCCTGGAATACACTTAGAACTTGAAGGAAATACTCAGGTTCACTACCGTCAGCACACAGTAGGGCTTTATGAATGAGGACACCCAAGCTCAGGAAGGTTAAGTGACCAGGCCAAGGTTGCAGCTCAGTTCTGAAGCTCGTGTTTTAACCACAGCCTGGCATCGCCTCCTCTCAAGTGCCTCACGTGCCAGTGTCAGGAAAGGTGAGTCAAGGGATGAGAGGAGAGTGAATGCAGCAGGGTGCTGGCACCCCCAGGATTGAACACAGGCCCCGGGAGTGAAACTGCTGAGTCTTAACCACTGGGCTGCCAGGGAATTCCCCTGAGTAGAGTTTAGGCTAAACCTTTGAAATGCTCTCTCGTCACCAGGAGGAGGTAATTATTTCATTTAACTCTCACACTTACCCATGACTATGGAGGCACAAATGCTCTTTATACAAAAGGTACAAGTGCGTGGCTGACAGGGTCAGGGCTTTTGGAAACCACAACATCACTTGCGGAGGGGAGAGGGGCCGTGGGGCTGCTGACCTCTTCTCTCACTTGACTGCTCTGCCGAGTCCTACTGTCCCCTGGGCTCTACTCAGCCCGCTGGGTGCCTCCTCTCTGCCTCACCTGACCTCGCTCCTGGCCCCGCCAGGCCTGAGTCTCCAGCACGACGCCTGGCCTCCTCTGAGGCCCGGGGTGTGTCTGCTTCACTAGCCCCTGCTCTGCGGGCCGCCCTCAACCTTCTCTTGCCATCTCTCAAGCAGCCTGACCCTGTGTGTGCGGGTGCTGGGTGGTGGTGGATGTGAAGGTGTGGGCCTGAGGTCTGGCATGGGGAGGACTGGGCCGGGAGGGAGGTGGGGAGACCGGGGCCGTCTCGGGCAGCCTTTCCCGAGCTCCGGGGTCCGTTCCAGACCTCCTATGTACTCCTGGAGGGCCCTCTGTCGCGGGGGGCCCAGCAGTCCATTACCTTCGAGGCGAGTGTTGGGCTGAACGATGAGCTTCCGGGCTTCCTTGCGGAGCAGCACCGTGTCCCTGAGGGAGAGGAAGCACTCGGGGGGCGCATCGGTGACCGCCGCATACCCCTCATACAGGGCCCGGCCTCCAGCCACATCCCCTGTGGACTTCAGCACCTGCGGGAGGGCAGGAGTTAGTGCCTTTGGATGGACGCCCTC